CTGTTGCTCAGGTGTGTCATACCAAGATCCTGCTTCCTCAATCTTTCCAGTGCTGGGTTTACAGGCATGAGCCACCAACCCGGCAATGCCCACCTTAAAAAAAAATTTACAGTTTTGTATGTAGCTCAGTGGTAAAACCCTGGGTTCAATCCCTCAACACTCACTCCAAAAAAAGTGTGCATTTGTAATTGGCCCAAAGGCCAGCACAATGACTGGTTATTTTTTTTGTTTGTTTGTTTTTTGTTTTTTTGATATTGGGGATCAAACTCAGGACCTTGCACTTGCCAGGCAGGTGCTTACACCACCGAGTTAAATCCCCAGCTGCACACAAACTCATTATGCGGAGAGGGCTAGCCAAAAGTAGACAGACACAGCCCCTTGTTCTCACTGGCATGCATGCCCGCAGCACGCGCAAGCTCCCTGGAACCAAACTTCCATCTGACCTGCGATGGAAGGGCGGGCACTTACCCATGCGCCTGCGCATTGAGGGACCGTGCGTCGTGGGGGCGTGGCTGCGCAGGCGCGCAGGGCGCCCCGGCCTCTGAGCATAAACAGGAGCGGGGATCGAGATGAGACAACGGTTGAACCTGGAGCAGCCAGCGATGGTGAATAGGACCCGGCGCTGTCACCCTAGTGCAGCTCGAGCCGTCCCCCTAGGGCGCGCGCCTCTCTGGCTGACCCACCTTGAGCACGCGCGCGCAGCCAGGAACCTTACGAGTCAGAGTGGCGAGGCTGGCGCTAGCCAGCTGCTGTTCGCCAACTTCAACCAGGATAAAACGTAAGGCCGGGGCCGCAGCCGGGGTCGGGGTCAGAGGTCAGGGGTCAGAGTTCTTAGGGGGCTTAGGGCTTCCGCCTCGCGCCCATTCAGAGGGTTCGCGGCCTGGCCTTCTGGAGCCGCTACTGAGGCGCTATGCTCTGGGCGGGAAGGGAGTGGAGGAGGCTTCCTGTCGGATTCAGGCTTGGACCGGACTTCTCCCCATGTTGGGGTGGAGCTTTGCGGCCTGACTCGCGGTCAGGCTGCCTGCCTATGGCTTTGGGCTTATCTCCCACCTCCGCCTCCAAGCTCGGCCTTTGCCCTACTTCTCCTCTTATGGCCTCTTCCTCGTTCTCCGCGCATCCTAGAGCCCCTTGTCTCACTCATCTTCTTTTCGCGCTGTTTTCTTTGCCAGGTAACTGTCTCCTCCAGACAACAAACAACCTTAGCAATATATGGGCCTCGGCCCAGGAGAAACTGAGCCTAGAGGAGTACAGGGACTGGCCCTAGGGATCTCAGGGTGCAGGGGGCGGGACATCCGTGGGCAAGAGAGACCCTAAAGTCAGCTAGGGGTTTGAACCCCTGCTTTTTCAGCTCCATATATGACAGGGGTCGGAAGTGGCCACTTCACAGCTGCCTCAGATGGGTCTTAAGGGGATTTAATATATAAGTTTTCTGGAGAAGGAAGGATGAGTTAATGGGGCTGGACGAAAGAAGAGCCATCTTGGGAAGTAAGAGGAAGTGATATAAGACAGGAGGAGGAGTGAGTCACTTGGCATCATTTGAAGTCCTTGGTTGTTAGTGGCGGAATGGAATGAATGGAAATGTGATTTTTTTTCCTAATTAAAAGTAAATTAGAGGATGACAGATCCCAGGTTGGAAGTGTACAGCATGTGCCCTCTTGAAAACACCTTGTCAAAGTTGTGTGGTTGTCAAACGCAGTTGTACAGCTATGGAGATCTGGTGTCCACATCCAGGCCTAAATGACACCTAAGGAAATTTGAGCCTAGAAAGAACATCCCTGGATCTAAAGAATTCATTAATCACAGCATGGGGGGAGGTGCAGAATCTTGTCTCCTGAGTTCCCTGGCAGTGCTCTTTTCACTGTGTCATGCTTGTTTTTGTTTTCATTTTTATTTTTTGTTTCTCCAAAGCAGAATTCTGAAGACAGTTCAAAATTAATGGTGTAGCAATCTGTAGAGGTTAAGGCTAGCAAATATTGTAATGTTGTGTGTGACCAAAAGCCTGCACAACAAACCAATCCAGACAGCCTATTGCCATTTGTTGTAATTGGGATCAGCCTGTTGTAATCTTGGGATAGAGGAGGAAACTTGAATCATTCTGATTTTATTTAAACCCTTCAGAGAGTTCAGGGAGCTGAACGTGCACAATTGGAATCCCCCTGCATAGTGGGGGAGGCAGAGGGGGAGAAGGGGGGAAGATTTTGCAACATTGCTCCCAGCGGATAATACCACGCCCAGTGTCTTAAATCATGGAGGACACACATGAGGTCACTGCAGGCCTAACTGGTCCACACCCAGCAACCTCCATGTGGCTAGCAGGAGCCTGAACCCCAGTCCCAGGAGCCAAACATGTGCAAGTTGACTCCCAGTGCGTGGAGGAAGCATTGGAACATTGCCCCAAACCCAGAAATATAGGAAAATGACAAAAAGAGCAAAATATAATCTCAAGCTTCCAGCCCAACCCTAGCAAGCCTAGGAGACGTGGACATAGAAGAAAATACGAGCCATATCACCTGAAATTCCTGAAATAACAACAACTGAAATAAAGAAACAACTCTGGGAAGCTGTAAAAGAACTCAGATCAGAGATAATCTCCCAGGTAAAAGAAGTAATGATAAATGTAATGAAAGGAATGCTGCACACATCTAAAGAAGACATAGTTAAAAAATTAGAGGAATAATGTGAAAAGATGGAAACCCTGAATGAACAGTGTAAGAAACAAATAGAATGCATGAAGCAGATTCAAAGAGATATACAGGAAATCGAAAATTCCATCGAAAGTTGGCAAAACCCCCTCAATGGAAGTGAAGATAGAACTTGAGACCTCGAAGACAAGTTTGCAGCTAGTGAACAGGAAAGCAAAAATCTTTTAGAAATAACAAGGAATTAGGATATAATTCATCAGCTGCAAGATGATGCAAAGAAAAACAAGATTGATAAGTATAAATGAAAAAGGTGACAACACAGATGATATCAAGAGGCTATTTACAGAAATAATAGCTGAAAATTCCCCAAACATGAGAATGGCAGATCAGTGAAACATATAGAACTCCAAATCACCATAACCAAAATAAAACTATACTCAGACATATAATAATTAAGAAATCCAACATAAGAACAGAATATTAAAAGATGCTAGAGAGAAGAGACAGATCACCTATAAAGGAAAGCCTATCAGTGTCACAGAAGACTTCTTAGCACAAACAGTGAAGTCCAGAAGAACATGGAGTGAAGTATTTCAGATCCTAAAGGAAAATAGCTTCCAACCCAGACTGATGTACTCTGAAAAACTGGCCTCCAAATTGGATGGGAAATAAGTTACTCCCATGACAACAGCTGAAGAACTTCATGACCACCAAACCAACCCTGCAAAAATACTGAAAGACACACTAGATAGGCATAGGAAAAAAACACTAAGCAAGGCAAACAGAGTGGAAAGGTAAAGAAGCAACAGCAGAATGATAACATATGTCCAAAAAACCCAATATATATCAGTTATAACCATTAATGTAAGTGGCCTTGATTCACCAATTAAAAGAAAGATTGAAAGAATGGATCAAGAAACAACATCCAGCCGTATGCTGTATACGAAAAACCCATCTAACCCAAAAGGAAACTCATAGACTGAAAGTCAAAGGATGGAAAACAATACTTTATGCAACAGGAATCCCCACAAAAGCAAGGTTAGCTATTGTATTTGCAGATAATGTGAACTTTAAACCAAGAATGATAAAGAGATGAAGAAAGCCACTAAATATTGGGGGAAAACTTTAAGAGAAAGACATAACAATCTCAAATATATATGCACCAAGTTTAGGAGCAACTATACAAAACAAATAAGTGAAAAATCAAATAAGCAATAGCACAATTATAACAGGAGACATTTACACACCATTGACACAAAGGGACAGATCTACCAGAAAATCAGCAAAGAAATAACTAAATCACACCTATGAACAAATGGACTTGATGAACGTATACAAAGTGTTCCACCCAGCAACATCAGAATATATATTCTTCTCAGCAGTACATGGGATATTCTCTAAAACAAACCATATACTAGCCTACAGAACATAAGTAAATGCAAAAGAATTGAAATTATCCCATTCATGTTATTGGATCATAGTGCCATGAAACTATAAATTAATTATAAACTGAAAAACCCCCATAAAACATGGAAAATTGAGTAATACACTCCTGAGCAATCAGTTGGGTCTTTCTCAGGTTTTAGTACTAGAGTCATATTTGCTTCCAGGAATGAGTTAGGAAGAATTGCTTCCCTTTCAATTTCATTGAAAAGTTTGAGGAGTGTCAGCATTAAGTCTTCTTTGAATTTTTTGCAAAATTCTTCTGTGAATCCATCTGGGCCTGGGCTCTTTTTTGCTGATAAGGATTTAATTACATTTTCAATTTCACTAATTGAAATTGGGTTATTCAGCAGTTTTACATCTTCTTGACCCAGCTTTGGTAATTCATGTATTTCTAGGAATCTGTCCATTTCTTCTGTGTTATTGAACTTACGAGAGTAGAAGTTTTCGAAATAGGTGTTGATGATCTGTATTTGTACAGAGTCCATAGTGATTTCACTGTTTTAATTCCTTATTGCAAGAATTTGAGTTTTTCCTTTCCTTTTTAAAAATAAGGTTGGCTAGGGACCTACCAATTTTATTTACTCCTTCAAAGAACTCTTTGATTCATTTATTCTTTGTATTGTTTTCTTAGTCTCTATTGCATTAATTTCTGCTCTGCTCTTTATAATTTCTTCCCTTCTTTTGGCTTTTGGCTTGACTTGCTCTTCTTTTTCTAGATGTTTGAAGTGTAGGGAAGGGAAACAGTTCTCCCTAACTCATTCCGGGAAGCACATAATTACCCTAATACCAAAACCTGAGAAAGATCCAACCAAAAAAGGGAATTAGAGGCCAAGCTTCCTAATGAACAGAGATGTAAAAATTCTCAATAAAATATTCACAAACAGAATGCAGCAAATCATCAAGAAGATTATACTGGCCCTGAATCAAGGCTGACAGCTTTCTGATGCTGTTGGTTTCAAGCAAGAGCCTAAAGATGTCTATGATCTGTTGGCCATTTCAGAACTTGGGCAGTGAAATGGTCAATTCATTAGAAAGAAACAGCTTGAAGCAACTCCCCCTACCTCGTGAACAGCTGTGAGCATGGCTGGCTGCGACAGCCCAGGATGGGAGCCACTGGCATTTACTGGGACCTGCACCATGCTGGGACCTGGAGCAGCGGGAAACCAAGCAACCCCCCTCCTCTGGTGAGTAGCTCTGAGTGTGACAGGCTCCGGTAGCCCAGGATGGGAGTCTCCGGTGTTTACTGGGGCCTGTGCCATGCTGGGACCTGGAGTGCCAGGAAACCAAGCAACCCCTACCCCGCTGCCTGTTTTGTTTTTTTTGAACTTCAATATACATGAAAGTATGGGCAGCTATTTTGAAGAGAATGAGAGACTCTACAACGGCAATTAGTGACTTCCCTGTTGTCTGGTTTTGAAGACTTAAATTGCCTTCCTCATTCTGTTCAGATCAGTTTTATACTATGTTGTTTTGTATGAATTCTCTGCGAAGACAAATGGACAACTATTTGGAAGAAAACAGACAATATGATAGACAGTGAAGATCTGTTGTGTTTTACCCCCTTTAAAAATTAAAAAATTTAAAAATAAAAAAAGATTATACACCAAGACCAGGTGGGATTCATCCCAGGAATGCAAGGATGGCTTAACATACACAAATCAATAAATGTAACAACATTTTAATAGAACCAAAAAATCACATGATCATCTTTTGATAAGGTCCAACACTTATTCATGATAAGAACCTTACAGAAAATTGGAATAGATTGTCTTTACTTCAATATGATAAAAGCCATTTATATAAAACCAACAGCCAGCATCATATTAAATGGCCAAAAACTGAAAGCCTTTACCCTAAAATAAGGAACAAGACAAAGATGTCTATTATCATCACTCCTATTCAGTATAGTGCTGTAAATACTAGCCAAACCAGTTAGACAAGAGAGAGAAATAAAAAGTAAAGGTAGGAAAAGAAGTTAAATTATCATTGTTTGCAGATGGCATGATACTCTACATAGAATACCCCCAAACTCCATTGAAAGACTCCTATAATAAATAAATTCAGTAATGTAGCTGGATACAAAGTCAACACTCAAAAATTAATAGCATTCCTATACACTAACAACAAAAACACTGAGAGAGATATAAATGAAGCCACAGCCACTGTAATAGCATCCATAAAAATGAAATATTTATGAACCAGTCTAACAAAAGAAGCAAAAGATCTATTCAGCGAAAATTATACTGCCCTGAAAAATAATTTAAGGAGGACCTCAGAAATTGGAAAGACAGCCCTTGTTCATGGATAGAACAAACATTATAAAAATAGCCATTCTCCCAAAAATGTTGTACAGATTTAATGCAGTTCCAATCAAAATGCTACTAGCAGACTCACAGACCTAGAGAAATCACTCCTAAAATTCATCTGGAACCAGAAGAGAACTACGATAGCAAAGGCAATTCTAAGCAACAAAGGCAAGGCAGGAGGCATCACAATCCCTAACTTGAAGTTATACTACAAAGCTGCTGTAATAGAATGGTACTGGAATAAAAACAGACCTGAAGATCAATGGGATAGGTTAGAAAATACAACTACAACTACAAACACGCAGCTACCTTATCTTTGATAAAGGAGCCAAACATGTTCACTGGTAGAGAGGTAGTCTCTTTAATAAATGGTGCTGGAAAAATTGGCTTTCCATATGCCAAAAACTAAAACTAGACCCATGCCTATCACCATGTACTAAGTTAAAGTCAAAATGGATAAAAGATCTAAATATTAAAACAGAAACACTAAATCTATTGGAAGACAAAGTAGGTAGAAATCTTGAAGACATAACGGTAGGTAGAAAATTCATGAACAAGAATCAAATGCATGCCAAATACTTCACAGAATCAATAACTGGGGTCACGTCCTATTAAACAGTTTTTGCATGTCAAAAGAAACTCCCAGCACAGTCAAAAGAAAACTCACAAATTGGGGAAAACATTCTTTAGTTAACTATCCCTCAGACAAAGGACTTCTTTCTAGATAATATAAAGAATTTTAAAAAATCGGATCCCTGAAATTCAAAGACCCAATGCAGAAATGAGCTTCTAAGGTGAATACACAGTTCTCAGATGAAGAAATACAAATGGGAAATAAATACATGACAAAAATGTTCAGCATCATTGGTCATTAGAGAAATGCATATTAACACCACACTGAGATTCCATCTCATTGCAGAAAGAATGGCCAGGATCAAGAAAACTACCAACTGCAAATGCTGGAGAGGCGGCAGGGAAAAAGGAAGTCTTCTGCACTGTTGGTGGGAGTGTATACTGGTGTAACCACTGTGGAGGTCAGTCTGGAGGTTCCTCAAAAAGCTGGGTTTAGAAGTCCCATTTGTTCCAGCCATTCCACTTCTGGGCATATTCCCAGAAGAACTGAAAACATCACACCACAGTGATATATGTGCTCCCATGTTTATAGCAGCACAATTTGTAATAGCCAGATCTTGGAAACAACCTAAATGCCCATCAACTGAGGAATGGATAAAAAAGATGTGGTAGTTTTATACAATGGAGTACTACTTAGCTATAAGGAGTGATCAGACTGAGATATTTATAAGTAAATGGATTCAACTCAAGACCAAGTGAAATAAATCAAACTCACATGTGTAAATACCGTATAGTCTCTGTAGTGTAAGAAATGGCGAGTACATAAGATACAAAATAATAAGTACAGTGAAAGGATAAGAATCTGCTTAAAGGGGAAAAATAATATCTCAGGGAAAAGGAAGAAAAAGAAAAAGGGAAAAGAAATATCTAAAATTATATAAACACAAACAGGATAGCTAAGATGATTGTGCTACAAATTCTGTAAGTTTTTAGAACAAAAAGTTAGCATTCATAGGACTGGAACAATTGTGCGTATTATTGTATGGTGATCTGAGGAACTCTTGAAGATCATTATGTAAAACAATTCTAGTTACGCTCCTACCACCTTTTATGGAAAGTCTATATTGTCACTGTTTTCGGCTCCTTGCTGTTGTCATTTATTTATATTTTTTGTTTTGTGTTTTTCTAGGAATTTGTTTTGTTTTTCCTTCAATACATAAAGGATAGGTATACATGTAGACACTCATACATGTGTAGAACTTCTAAACATTGTATGATACTTGATTATATAGTGCATGATGAAATGAACAGCTACTTTGAAGAAAAAGAGACACTATAGTATCCAGTGCTGATTCTGTAGTGTCATGCTGTGAAATCCAGCAATACTATTATTATTTGTTCAGAGTGATTTTAGCTTGTTTTGTATTGTTTAATTTCAACATACATGAAGGGACTGGGGATTTAGCTCAGTGACACAAGAGCCTGCCTTGCAAGGGCAAGGTTGTGAGTTCAATAAAGTTGCTCAACATACTTGAAGGTATGGACAGCTATTTTGAAGAGAACGAGTGACATTATGGGAGCCATTGTTGATTTTCCTATTGCCTGGTTTTGAGGGCCTGTAATGCCTTCATCATTCTGTTCTCATCTGTTTAATACTATTTCGTTTTGTATGAATTCATTGTATGTGAAGATATGGACAACTATTTAAAAGAAAATAAGAGACATTATGATAGCCAGTGATGATCTCCTGTTGTCTTGCTTTGAAATCTGTGTTACATTTTTTTCTTCTGATCTACTTTGTTCTGTTTTGTTCTGTTTAGTTTTACTTTCTTTAAAATAAAATTAAAAAAAAATAAAAATAAAACCTTTAGTGTGTTTAGGTCATTGGTTTTTTTAATTTCATTTTGGTTTTTTGATGCAAAGTAGTTTAGGCTGGCCTTGAGCTCACTCACTATGTTACCCACTGTGAACTTGAAGGTATCCTCTTGCTTCAACCACGAGAGTTCTGGGATCACTCTGGTGGTTGTGCCAGGAGTGCGCCACCATGCCCAGCTTAAGCTCTTAGTATTTTGGGACCAGTAAAAAAGTGATATAAAATATTATAAATTAATTTTAAAAGATTTGTTTAAAATAAAAAAAGAGGGCTGGGGATTTAGTGCAGCAATACAAGCACCTGCCTGGCAAGATCAAGGTCGAGAGTTCAATCCCCAGTACCAAAAAAAAAAAAAAAAAGAAGGAAAGAAAGAAATGACAGTATTATAGGGATTTATACCTTTTCTAAATTAGAGAATTTCCAAAATATTTTCTAGTGATTTTTTTGGCTTTTCACTGCTTGTTTCAGAAGGAAGTCAAATACAGTAGAATAGGATTCTTCCATCCAAGTACTAACTATTCTGATTTGATTACTACCTGTTTTTGTAGTTCTACACTGTCTACAAAGTTGTATTTCTGTTAATACTGTTATGTACTGATATGTTCAATTATACTTTATCTGATGATATAGCCACTTCTATTGATGGTAACAAGAGACAACACAGTAACCATGGTAGAACTTGTACAGCAGTTTTATATGTCTTTTTAGTTGTAGGTGTCTGTAAGAATATGTTTTGTTTTGTCCTGCTTTGTTCTGTTTCTTCCTCTAATATAGAAAGGATAGAAATACATGTTGAGACTCATGCTTGGGTAAAACCTATAAACAGTTACTAGAGCTGATCTTATGACACATGATGAAATGAACAAATGCTTTGCAGGAAAAAGGCACTACAGCACCCAGTGCTGATTACAGAGTGTCATGATGTGAAATCCAGCAATACTATTAATCTTTGTTCAGAGCGATTTTAGTCTGCTTTAGTTTATTTAATCTCAACATAAATGAAGATGTGGATAAATGCATACATGTTTAAGTGTATAGGATTGATCGCCATACTACTAAGTTTTTATTAGATAGTTGAACAGAACTATTTGCAGTCTCCCTGTTTGAATTCCCATTTATATGTTCCACTTTTGTATCTTGAACAATTATTTGTAAGAGGAAAATATGTAAACATCAACAAGTGACTTATTACTGTTATTTTCTTCTTTGAAAGTATGTACTATTTCTACCCATTTTCCGTTTTGTTTTGTCTTTCTTTAAATAAAAATATGATTCTCTCTTTCTCCCCCTT